CCAGTCAAGACTCCTATCAATCCAACGACTAATACGGCCCCCTCATCAGTCCTCAGAATCTTCAACGGTGATATGCCTGATTGAATGTATTATGAAAAAGGGTACTGTACGACAATTATGCAAAATGACGAGTGCAACCTGCCACGGCATTCAGGATTTCCCAGTTACATGTTCCAACAGTGCAATCAGCTCAATCGAGCGTGCTGCGATAAATCTGGTTAATAATCTGAACTGACAAAAAAGTCACAAGGCACGTTCTGCCGTTCTCAAAACTTCCTCCTCTGATACCACCCCCTTTTCCATCCTGCATCCTACCCACCATCTTACTAACACTTTTCCAGAGTTTTTTTTTCTCAAAAAGTCCTGCGTCCTGCCTTATACTGCTTCTTGCAAAATCAAAGTCTTTCGAGCAATCAAAAAAGCGCTTGCTTGTTGTGGCCCTAATTAACTTACTAACGAAGGGAATTCGATTTTTCCGCTCACACCGATGTGGGACGTTACCTTCACGTAGCTGCGATGCGGCGAAAGTAGCACTGCACATGCAGCACTCGCACCAGGACTCAACTGAAGTAACGTGGAAGCATTGCAATACGATAAACTTACAGGACTAGAAAATATGAGCTAGTTCGGGTGCTTCAACTTGGAGGTGGGAAGGGGTGGGCATATCCATAGGACTTGGACAGTCATGTCCAAGTCTTATGGATATGCCTACCATAAGACATAAGCCTTGTTAAGTCATATTGTATAGATGTGACCGGACAATCGTGTTACATACTGAAAGCCTGCAAAATTCTGTAAAGTACCCTGTACACTTATGTACATTCCTGCCATCCATGACGAAGTGGCACCCGTTTCATTGAAACGCATCTTGAACTCTGACCATTTTAACAAGTTTTACAGGAGGTTACATAGTGCTCGACGGATGATAACAAGGATTACAGGGTACTGACAAGTTTGCCTGCTATCCCCATGGTTTGCAGGATTCATTACGTTGGCAATCGCTTTGAGGTCTGCCCCCACCCTACTTGGATGTGACCCTGCCCTATTTCTTCACCCAGTACTGATTGAGCCAGTGATCGCTGAGAACCTCTGAACCAGTATTCAAGGGAACAGTCGCGAGATATCATACATTTCCTATCCGTTGAAAAGAAGCGACTCTTGAAGAGATAATTCAGAATGGAATTTCTGGTAATCTTTTCCACTTTCGCGAAACAAGATTTTCGTAGCTAGATCCACCTAATGCCAAATGCTTATCGTGTGGGAAAGGCCTCTGGCCAGTAAAAGTCTCCTTCTTTATCTGCGTTTTCTCTCGATAATGGAAAATAGCTTTTTGAGGTGTTTTCGCCAGCACACTTCATCAGCCAAGGTCCATTGCCAGTAAGGAAAGTGGGCGGGGGTTGTACCACGTCAGCGTCTTGACTCGTACTTTCGAGTGGTCAAAAAGAAGTTGCGGCCCTGAGCTCATTCCGAACAGGGTACGCCTATAAGATTGTGATCATCACAGGGGGGGGTTCGCGTATTTGACAGGAGGAAGGGGGTTGTGATTTGGTCGGAGAATAATAAATTTTCTTTGATAGTTGGATTTCTGCTTTGTTTCACGGTCGCTTTTTATTTTTTTTTGCTTTGCTTAAAGGGGGGGGGGGGGTCGTACTTTGGTCATTTTTGGGAGGGGGGTCGTATTTGGTCAGTTCACGGACGCACTACTATTTCCGACACTTGAAAATGATAGTTTAATTCTGACGACCTCCCCCCCCCCCCCCGCTCGACGGCTCGGTTCGATGAGGAAGGACAGAGGGCTGGGAGGGGGGGGTCGTACCAACTCCCAAAAAGGGGGTCGTATTTTAGTATGGAATTAGGGGGGGGGTCGTAATTTTCAGAAAATGATCACAACGCGATGGCGTGCCCTGCATCGAACTCGATGAACTTTCAAGACTTGACAAAGATTACATACAACAACTTTGTTCGGCAGAGGTGACGACAAAATGTCTTCACACATGATGCCTAGGCTTCGAAAAAGGACAACTGAACATCATCAAAGGCACAGTCCATGATAAATTATGAGAATAGAGGGTCTATGGGAGATGGGAGGTGATAAGTGGGGAGGAAGGTAGTACGGGCCGCAATGGACACCCTCGCACCAGTTTCGCGGCAGAAATTCAAAAGGAAGGACGCTGGTACAAGGTTGCTTATGTGGCTCCACCTGAGCACAAGTGACTCCGCCCACGTCGGTGTCTATCGCGTCGCTCGCTTGCACACTCCACATTCTGGGTACGGAGTGTGCGTGGCTGTGTACTTCATTTGAGCGCGGAGAGTGCCCTTTCTTGACGGCATGTTGCCACTTCTGACAACTCCTACAATTAGTCCAGCGGAATTACAGTTGTGTTAAACGATACCATGCACGAAAAAAGCACACTGTACGCCATGTTTAAATGAAGTACTCAGCAACGCCTTATCCATTTCCATGGTATGGAATAAATACTCTCTTCTTCATGGGTGGGCCTACAAGCTACCGGCCACCTACGACATTTTCGACGACTAATCATTAAACCTGCCTTGAAATGTTCAGTTTCATGATGAAATGACATGTCCTGCTAGTTTACACCAGCGTTCACTTCAGAGAAACATGTGTGTAATAAACGAGCATTTATGACCTCAAAACGAGTCTTTCATGTTTTTCAGTCCCGTGACGCTATACGGTATGTGCTAGAGAAGGGTGACAGTTGTTTTACTGAATATATTGGTCGAAATGGTGGTCATCAGGATATCATCATCGGAAGCGAATGTGCAGAGGTAAGCGCTCCCTTATCAGTTTGCTTCTACTCAGCATGGAAAAGAACGCAGTTTTTATTATGTACGAACTTGTTCATGTTTGCTTATTGATTGTTTATTTACAAGTTGTCAACAATATACATTTCTTCACTGATAGCGCTGACTCCAGGCTATTTCACTGGTGTGTATTAAATCTACATCAATGGTAGGCACCCAATAAAGGTCTTAGTCTAGTGAGAACTTTTCGCTCAGCTTGCTGGCCTTGAAAAGGTTTCGCTTCTCAGAAAGGATTTTGTGCACCAAAGTGAGGCTTCCCCCGGGGGACGCGGCCACAATAGGCCTTGGCGACTCTAATCGCCCGCCAGTTCTAAGCCTCAGGTTTGGGTAAGAAAAGGATGGATCACAACTCCGATGAAAGGGAAAGCGCAGGACCAGAGTCGCCGTGGTCGTAGAATTTTCGACGCCTCCTCCAACTATGTGGGAGCTGTTTTCCCCAGTTTCCTAAGTCTCCAACTAGGTTCGAGCATCGGGATATAAAAAATAAGTTTTCTGAAAGTTAATCAATAAAAACATTGAAACTATCCAGCAACGTTACTCGCAGTGTCCGTCATCAGTCTGGATTACCTTGACGACTCCGAAACAGTTCAAACAAATTCCGATCATGCGGACTTAAAGGCACGCTTTGCGTTCATTTGATGTTCAGACGCCTTCTTTGGACATGCAATCTTGTCTCCATGATGGAGAGTGTACTACTTCCAAAGCTCAAAAATACGTGATGAACTCAACCCAATCGCGACGAGGCCAAGGCCCCTACTGACCACTGCCACGCCCAACATTCATGTCTAGAGGCTTCCCAATGGTGCGTTCCGCTACTAACCCCCTCCATTTCACATGATGAGAGTAGGGTGATAAAGGGAATGAGCTGATACCAACAAGTGGCAACTTGCACGACCACGACCTTTCTTCGCCTTGAGCTCGAAAAAGCGTAGTTTAGCATGGGGTTCCATGAGGGGCATTTCTGCCGGAATTTCTTCTGCTTTTTTTCTGCACTGCTGTGTTAACTACCATCCTGTCAACA